TATATATATATATATGTTGTGATGTTGGGGAGCTCACAGAGCACTTGCACAAAGGGGTTTTCAATAAAACCAAAAGTTTTTATTTTCCTCTTGCACAAATACACGCTTTATCTTCAGCAAACTCAAAAGTAAAATGTCCAATTCTTCGGCACAGATAACAAAACATAAATGTGTCTCACCGACTTGTTGTAGAAATGTCCCAAACCTGGGGAAATCACTTCCTGCACTGCACTGCACTGCACAGCACAGCACTGCACAGCACAGCACAGCACAGCACAGCAATACAGCCAGTCTCTCTCACTAGCCACAGCTTATTACTTCCTCCTCAACTCCCACACTCCTCACTGGGAGTTGTAGACCTTTAAACCCCTTCCTGGGCAGGAAGGTTAACCCTGTGGTGGCCCTTAAAGGGACCACAACCCAAACAGTGGTGATATATATCTCCCATCCAGGACCCAGCCTTGCCGTCCTATATATATATGTAATTGTGTTTGCCTGGAGTTCAGCTTTAAACTTTATGCAATGTCCATAATGCGGCGTGTTACATGTGAATGGTGAAACATCGTTATATTCCCTCCGTAGCGAATGAAGTCATATTTTCACTTAATCCCTCCAATGTGCGTTTCATATGTCAGACATTTAAGATTGTCATACCAAGACAACATGAACATCATGAGCTCAACTACTGTATCAAAGGTAGCCTGTTATTCCTCTGACTGAGGATTGCCAGAAGCAGCAATGGTCAGGAAATCAAGTATCTCTGAAGGTTAATTCATACACAGTTTCACTTTTGCAGCTGGTTCAGTTCAAGATTACGCACCGGTTAGGAAGACATCGCCCATGGAGATAACACCTGCACAGAGGTCTGTATAACTTTTATATATTCTGTTTTATCCAATTTGTGAAGCCCTGATATTGTCTATTACCAAGCTCCTCAGGCCTCAAGGTTTACCACGGCCACCTGCACAGGGGCAAAGCAATTACCACTGATGCCAAATACTGGCACCAACTAACAACTTACAGCGCCAATTGTTTGTGGGCAAATACTAGCACCAATTGTTTGTGGGCCCCTACCATCAAACCTACTATATTTTCAAAAGTATGTGGAGACCATTATAGTGATTGAGTGATGTAATGGTACAGCATTACAAGGACATTTGGGGAAGATCCTTTTCTGTTCCAGCATGACTGTGCCCCAGGACCGGTGCTAGGATTTTTGCCTAGACAGGCAAAGTTGCATTTTTGCCAGAGGTGCAGCGCGTGTCGGGATCCTCTGGCAGTCGCTGGCCAGCTAAATTAGGACCCCACCTGGAGCTCCTCCCACCGGACCAGCGCTGACTCGCCGCTGCTCTCCCGCACCAAAGGTAAGTGAAAAAAAATAAAACATAGCGCAAGCATCAGGGCATTTTGACAAGTACAAGTACTTGTCAAAATGCCCTGTTTTTTCCGCCCTCACCCTGCAGCGCCCTCAGGCGTCCGATTGCCTTGCCTTGCGGTAGCTCCATAAAAATATGGTTTGATGGATTTGTTGTGGAGGAACTTGAGAGTCCTGACCCCAACCCTACTGAATACCTTTTGGATGAATTGGAACACCAGTTTCGAGTCAGATCTTCTCATCCTGCACCAGTAACTGACCCCACAAATGCTCTTTTGGCTGAATGGGCACAAATTCCCACAGGCACACTTCATAATCAAGGCTTCCCAGAAGAGTGGAGGTTGCTATAGACCCAAAGATGGGCATGGGGAAACCCAAAATTAATGCCTATGGTTTGGGAATGGAATGTCCAAAAAGCTTATATAGGTGTCAAGGGCGTCCCGAGGCCAGGTGTCACCCAGAGCGGATACCGGATGACAATCTGCTGTGGTATTCAGTAGGGTTGACTGTCAGTCATTTTGGTGTCACCCCTCCAATAGTGTCACCTGGGTGCGGGTTGCACCCCCCTTGTGACGCCACTGATAGGTGTGATGGTCAAGTGTCTACGAACCTTTGGCCTTTATAGTATTTGTCTAGCAGAGTAGAGCTAGGGCCATCAGTCTCTGTACCTCTTGTGTTGGTAAGTAATGCATTAAAAATATCCTACTAGCTACTAGAAGCCAAAAAGCACACTGGGATGCTCTCCCTCACATGGAATCACAGTTTTGGACTTTGGCACAAGGTTCAAACAGAAGAGAAAGGGAAGAGAGAGACAATATGGGGAAGAGCTGCCTCATAGCCTTTGTGGATGACAAATCTGGCACTGGATAGACTAGGGCAGACTTTTCAATCTATTTACCCCAGAGGAACACGTAAAATAATTTTTAGGTCTCAGGGTACCCCTGCTAACTTTTACAAGGTAAGTAATTGTAGATAAGAATAAACTTGGTGTGGTGTGCCTAAAGTATTTGACAACCAAGGTGGATTATTTTAACACCTTCTGCTCAATATAAGAAAATAATTTGCAGTGTTTTTAAAAAAATTTAATCGAAAAACAAAATAATAATGTCCAGAAAAGAAATGTAGACAGACGCCCTTATATTTATGGTCAGTAAAGAAATGTCTCCCTGCGTTAGTGTTCATTGAAGATCCCCTTACATTGTGGTCAGTGGGTGAGGTGTCCCCTATTATTCGTGGTCAGTAGCAAAGTGACCCCTTACATCATGGTTAGTTAGAGAAGTGCCTCTATACATCAATGTTCACTGAGAGGAGGAATGCCCTTCACCTTGTTGGTCAGTTGAAAGAATGCTTATTTAACTTGGGGTCCGTGAGAAGAATGCAACCTTACAAACAGCTAAGAAGATCATTGGTGTCACGGTGCTGGCTCCTGGAGGCACCATCACATGGGAGGTCAGTCAGTCACAGCTCAAGGATCCCATAGTAATATCTGCAGGAAACTCTCTTAAGAACGGCTGAACTAGGGAATGGTAAAATTGTTCTGTTTTGTTTTGTTTTGCCCTTTTTTGTCTTATTGGGGACATTTTCCTTCTGTTCCTGTTTCGGAGACACAACATGAAATGAGAGGAAATCTCCAAAAAGTGAGAAGTCTCCTCTTGTTAACTGAACAGATGTCATGAATGGTACACTTACCCTCACCTCCTGTTGTCGTTAAAATGTATGTAAAGCCAAAACCTTTTTTTTCATAGGGTAGTAAATGGTTAAAACTCCTCTAAGGTATTTTTTGCCATCTACACTACATTGCCATAAGTATTGGGACGCCGGCCTTTACACGCACATGAACTTTAATGACATACCAGTCTTAGTCTGTAGGGTTCAATATTGAGTTGTATTGCTCATCCATGTCTTTATGAACCTTGCTTTGTCCAGTGGTGTGCAGTCATGTTGGAACAGGAAGGAGCCATCCCCAAACTGTTCCCACAAATTTGGGAGATATTGTGTGTGTCCCATTTGGGAGATTTTTCTTTTCTCTCTTATAGCTCAGGCATGGTCCATCATTGTACTATCAGTAAGATGGTCCAGACTAATGATGTGCAGCCAGAGGAGATCACCAGCACTGGGGAAAAAAGAAAATTGTATTTTATTTTTAAAAATTGATATTTTTTATACACTTTAGCAAAATAAATGTCATCTAGTCATAGTTTAAGACTTCCTTTAAGTCACCAATCACTGTATTCTATTTGATGTCAATGCAGCATAAAATGTAACTTCTAATACAAAATAATATTCCAGCATCACCTCATTATTTATAGATTGTGTTTTAATTGACGTACCAATTCATTACAGCAAATTGTTTAGTCAAAAACGTATCTTCCCAACCAATACTCCCTCAGTACCTTTCCACTGCAAAAAAAAACACATTCTTACAGAGCCTTGAACTCTCCGGTTTCAGAAGCTATTGCCTGTTTCCCGAAGCAATCCCATTTTCACCAAGCAAATAAACAGAAAGTCTGTCTGCAATGACTGAGCTAAAGAGACGGAGAGAACAGAAGTATTCTGGCTGGGCAATACTGCCCCCAGGTGGTGAGATTGTTTTACTGCACCCTTGTGTTTATAGCCCCAAAAGTCTAAACATGGGTGTAACACGAAACATGGTCCTAATAGTGGACTATGCCTTTAAAGTGTTATTAAAGCTATTTCAAATGCGAGGAAATCACTTACAATGGATGCTTCTCTTTGATGTTCAAAAGATTTATTTTCCTGAAGAATCAGTTGGTCCCCCGAGCACTGGTCCTGATATCCTGTTTTAGGGTGAATCATTTCCCTTGCAGGGTCCTATGGAGCCACCCTTGTGTGTGCTACTAAGCTGTGTGTGTATCTACAAACATACAGGCACAGCAAGGCAATCATCTGCTCCTCCTGTCCTCCTTCTTTCTTCTCCCTTCTTCAAGCTAGTAGATGGGCAACTACTGGAGACTGCTATGTCCCTTGTGATCATGTACTGGACAGGAAGTTCAGGGAAGCCAAGCTGAGAGAGTTGGAGCTGTTTGGAAACATGATGACTGTATGTGGTTGGGCAAAAATGTAAAGAAATACTTTTCTGGACGATGTATATTTATCTGATCCAGATTCATTATTAAAAAAAAAAAAGTTTGAGTGTTTAATAATGCTGTAAAGTGAAGCTGCGCTGTACCCATGCAGGACACATAAATGGGTTTACTTTAATGGCAGCCCCACCAACAGCTTGCACTGATCTTCCCATTGTTCCTTCGCTTTGTTCCTTAGGCTTGTGAGTGATTAAGTCCACCGGCGTCCACCATGACCAAAAATCAGTTAAAAATGTTTTTTTTAATTGTTCATCAGCTTAAAATTAAAGGTTTATTCCACCAAAATGTGATATATGATTGATAGATGGAATATGTGGGGTGTGTCTTTCTGGCTTCTTAAACCTCTTGGATATTCTAGTCTAAGCCCTCATTCACCCGACTAACCCGACTAGAGATCCATGCGGCGTGCGGCTCCCGGGAAGGACAGGTCCTGTGTGTGATTTGTACGCAGCAGCCTGTTCTTCTCTATGGGAGGACGCGGCCGTACGCTCACCCGAACTGCACGCCCGTGCAGGTGCTGGTGTCCTGACTCGTACGCAGACAGGATGGATCCTGCCTGCGTCCGAGCAGGGACACCCGCACGGACCTGCAGCTCGGCCACATACTCCCAACAGGCTGCTGCGTACAAATCACACGCAGCACCTGTCCTTCCCGGGAGCCGCCTGATACGTCCGTTCACGCAGCATGGAGCTGTACGGGCCGAACGTTATCTGTACGGGCCTTAAACAACAACAACAAAACAAAAATTGTTTCCTCACATTGGTCAGTGAAGTGCTCCCTTACACTGGTGGTTATTGGCACTGGTCAGTGGTGAAGGTCTCCCTCAGATTTGTGCTCGGTGGAAGTAGGGCCAACTTTCACTGGAGGTCAGTGGGAGAAGGGCCACTTTACACTGGAGGTCAGTGGGAGAAGGACCACCTTACATTGGAGGTCAGTGGGAGAAGGACCACCTTACATTGGAGGTCAGCGGGAGAAGGGCCACCTTACACTGGAGGTCAGTGGGAGAAGGACTACCTTACACTGGAGGTCAGTGGGAGAAGGACTACCTTACACTGGAGGTCAGTGGGAGAAGGACTACCTTACACTGGAGGTCAGTGGGAGAAGGATCACCTTACACTAGAGGTCAGTGGGAGAAGGACCACCTTACACGGGATGTCAGTGGGAGAAGGATCACCTTACACGGGATGTCAGTGGGAGAAGGATCACCTTACATGGGATTTCAGTGGGAGAAGGATCACCTTACACGGGATGTCAGTGGGAGAAGGATCACCTTACACTAGAGGTCAGTGGGAGAAGGACCACCTTCCACGGGATGTCAGTGGGAGAAGGATCACCTTACACGGGATGTCAGTGGGAGAAGGATCACCTTACACGGGATGTCAGTGGGAGAAGGATCACCTTTCACTGGTCACTGAGGTCAGTGAGAAGAATGCCCTCCTTACATAGAACTATACAGATCATTGGTGTCAGTTGTTACCTGAAAGGCAGAAATTGCTCATTGCTGAAGGAACCGCGAGCAATCTCTGGAGGAACCCTGGCTGAGAAGTCCGCGATACCCTTCCTGGTAATCATTTCACATTTTGATTTAACCCTCTGCTCACAAGACACTGTCAACAAGCCGATAGTCCTTAGCCACCAAAGAATTACTTTATTACATGATTGGTTTAGTAATACAGACTGCTCATCGTGATTTGTGATTTGCTCTTGCAGGAAGATAAAAGCCATTTCTTTTGAAGATTATCACAAAATTTGGAATGAAATCGCAACATCATCAGAAACTGAAGACTTGAAAGCAGCAAGTAAGATGGACAGGGACAAAGGAGAAACTGTGCGCCTTGTATAAAATATCCCAAAATCTGATTTGACTAACAACGCTTTATAACTATAATTTCCCAGTCAATGACTTTGTGCTGCATACATGGAAAAGGATCAGAGTATTGCTCGCCGTCACATCCCAGGCCGTACCTTGTATGACCAGCAGATGGCACTGTGGTTCCAGAAAACAATACTGCTTGAAACAATGTATCAGGAAACTTACAGGGTTATTCATAAAAGGGTGAAGAGTTTGGAGAAGGAAGGTGAATGGAACAATCTAGGACAACATAGCTGAGCTGGGAAGTGAGCTGAATTGGAGAATTTTTCCAACTCAGCTATTTTGGCCTGGATTGTTCACTTCTCCTCCCTTCTCCAAACTCTTCACCCTTTTGCTCCTCGGCTCCATCTAATGGTGACAGTGTTGTGCGCATGGCACCCACCCAGCTATACACTGGGCGGGAGATTTATAAATTGTCCCCTTTAAGCCCTCATTCACACTAGAAACGGCCGGCGCGTACAGCTCCGTGCTGCGTGCACGCCCGTATCGGGCAGCTCCCGGGAAGGACAGGTGCTGCGTGTGATTAGTACGCAGCCCCCCGTCCTTCCCTATGGGACTACACGGCCGCACGCCCCCCTACGCTCACCTCAAGTGCAGGTGCGTGTTTCCTGGCTTGGACGCAGACAGGATCCATCCTGTCAGCATATGAGTATGCTCACCCGCACGGACGTTCAGGGCGGGTGAGCATAGGGCAGCGTATGGCCGCGTAGTCCCACAGAGAAGGACGGGGGCTGTGTACTAATCACACGCAGCACCTGTCCTTCCCGGGAGCTGCCCGATACGGGCGTGCACGCAGCACGGAGCTGTACGTGCCGGCCGATTCTAGTGTGGATGAGGGCTAAGTTGTACAAGTTTCAGCCTCAGTACTCTTATTGACAATCACCTTTTTTTTTTTGGCAGGGCATAAAGGATCCAAATCCAGAACCCAGTACAAGCAAACCAATGAAACCAGCATTGCAAATAAACAGTGAGTAGGACATAGGACTGATGAATATACACACATCTGTATTCTACTGGAGTACATTTCATGGAATCAAAAGACATGCAAGATTGGTGCTTGGTGCTGTTTAAAGAATCTTCTTGCAGTATGATTGGCCTACAACATGAATACGGTACAATGGAATCGTCCAGATTCGGATAGTCAGTAGGCACTGCGGAGAGGTGTGTCGGTTCATATGATGGTATAGAGTACTGGTCGCAGATAGCTACTGAGTGGGTTGCTCCACTGGTACCCATAAATGGAAAGCGGTCAGCCAGCAGGCAAAATGCTGCCCTGATAACACGGGTGGTAAATGCTTATCCAGGGCTCATGTGATCAAACCCTTAAAGCGCAACTCCACCCAAGATATTTTAGTTTTGGGTAGAGTAGGGAATGGTTACAGCCAGTGGTGTCACAAAGCGGGTGCGGGGGGTGCAGCCCACGCCCGGGTGCCACCATTGGAGGTCATTCTGACAGTCATTTTGGTGTCACCCCCTATGAAAAATCGGGCACTCGGTCACAGACCGAGAGCCCAACAGTATCAGGAGAGAGGAGGGGACCCGACGGCATACCTCATCCCGCGGGGTGAATGTCCCCTCCTCTCTCTAAGTGCAGAAAGTGTGTGAATGAGGCGCAGGATTCCACTTACCAGTAGTTGAAAGTGGAACAGATTCATACGGGGCCCAGTGGCTCAGGTGAGGTCACTTTCAACAATAATTGGGTACCCTTAAAGGGGTAGCCAACCTTCGGCCCTCCAGCTGTTGTGGAAATATAAGTCCCATAAGGCATTGCAAGACTTTGACAGCTACAGGCATGACTTCCAGGCAGATTCCATGTTGGAATTTGTAGTCTCAGCACAGCTGGAGGGCTGAAGTTTGGTTACTCCTGAAGTAGGGGATCCAGAGTTTAGGATCCACATGTAAAAAGTCTATTGAGGGCGCCAGTCCAAAGATTTAGGGGTCCAAAACCTTTTACGTTTGGTGTCAGTTCACAGCAAGAAAACCTAAAGCAGTCAACACGGCTCAAAAATCTCCCCCAGAATAAGAGGAAGATTTAAGAGCCCCCAAAATGCGTTGCTTGGATACCAGTCATACAAAGTTAGCTGAGAAGCAAGCTGCTCTCCCGTTGTTGTCTCTTTAACTAAGCCATTGTGCTCTGTGAATCCTTGGTTATGAATTCAATATTTATTTATAAAATGATATGTGTATAAGAATGTTGTTATTATTATTATTATTAGTATTATACATACACACACACTTTTTTTTACAAATCAAATTCTTAAACAAGAACAAGGATTCCCAGAGCACTATGGACTAGCTAAAGAGGCAACACAACCGTGTACAGCATATATATATGATTATTATTATAAACATACATAACACAACAGTTAAAAAATCTATAAACAACCAAAATAAAATTGACAAAAGCCATTCGATTTTCCCTCTAAATTCATGGCCCCAAAAGGTGCCGATCTACTACCAAACTTCTCAGCTGATATTCTTTTTGCACCAGATACAACATCATTATCCGAGGGCTCATTGGCAGGAGAACAGGAGCAATCCCATCCATACAGCCAGAGAGTGAAGAAGACCCTCACAGCTGTGTGTTCTGCAGGTTGTCGGGTATGTGTTATATGTGTTGGGGTAATTAATTTTAAGGGGGGGACCCCATGCAAGTACATACAAAGTAGGGTTCCCTCTTCTCATCAAAGTAGGTGGGAGGTGGAGCAGACCTGGATGGAGGTGACCTTCCGAATGGACCCCACCCTCCCTGGACTAACGCCATCTGTATCCATGGTGCTGGTGGGCCATAGAAAGTCATGATGCTGTGTGAAGATTTGGGGGGAACCCCTGAGAAAGACACAAGGCACCCCAGACTGCCCCGGCTCCCTGACCGCTCTAATGCATGCACACAGTAAGATAGAGGAGCGTGCTTCTGGTGGCAAAGTCCACGTGGCAGCTCGTGAATAGTCACAATGTTTCCTTCTCATCTCCTCAGAGAACTGCGGCGTCGACTTCCTGGGACACTCCGAGCCACGTACAAGCCAGAGATCTGATGTCCACGGAGATGCTGCAACGTGGTTCTGTGGGTCCGGCCGTGACGGAGAACCTCGGGAAGAGGAAGTGGACCACCTGGTGGCCTGGACTAATACACTGAGTTCTCAATCACTAGAAGACTGAGGAGGGGGGAGGGGGGCTAGAACCAGCCAACGGACCCGACTGTACACATACATCTGTAAAAAGAAGTGCAAATCAAACATAAAGGTCCAAAGTCCTATACAAAGGTCAACTGACCTAGAAGTCTCCCTCATAGCGCTGCAATTTGTACATATACAGGGTTGCTGCCCGTCTCAGTGTCATTAAACAAAGGACTCGGGTTCACAGGATGACAACGGCGGCGTGTTGTAACCTTCTCAGGAAGTCTCAGTGACCGGCTCCTTGAGGGCTCCTATACCCGGGGGCCCCTGTGGTGGTTTTCGTGGTTAGCTCTGTTGTTTTTTACAGCGCTGGGATCACGAGTTCAGTTCCCACCAGGGGCCGCCCGTGTCTGAATGGAACTCATTTGTGTTTGTGTGAGGGTTTTCCTTCCTCGTCCTTCCGCTTTCCTCCCACAAGCCAAAAACATTCTAATAGGTTAATTGGCTGTGCCGGGCGTACGAGTGCTCGCAGAGCTGCGGCCGGGGCATTAGATTGTCAGCTCCCGTGGTGCAGGGACCGGTGTGACCAATGTTATGGGCTCTGTGCCGTGTAATGTGCAGGAAATAAAGTCTTCTCATTAAACAGAATCATCAATGTCCAGGATCTGATCCTTCAGCCGAAAAGACCGTCTACTATCCTCACCAGTGATCAGTCTGCTGCAGGAAGGAGGAAGCATTTCCTCAGTCTCCCCTCCCCCAGTGATCAGACTGCAGTCAGGAGGGAGCATTTCCTCAGTCTCTCCTCCCCCCAGTGATCAGTCTGCTGCAATCAGGAGGAAGCATTTCCTCAGTCTCCTCTCCCCCAGTGATCAGTCTGCTGCAGGCAGGAGGAAGCATTTCCTCAGTCACCTCTCCCCCAGTGATCAGTCTGCTGCAATCAGGAGGAAGCATTTCCTCAGTCTCCCCTCCCCCAGTGATCAGTCTGCTGCACGCAGGAGGAAGCATTTCCTCAGTCTCCCCTCCCCCAGTGATCAGTCTGCTGCAGGCAGGAGGAAGCATTTCCTCAGTCTCCCCTCCCCCAGTGATCAGTCTGCTGCACGCAGGAGGAAGTATTTCCTCAGTCTCCTCTCCCCCAGTGATCAGTCTGCTGCAGGCAGGGGCAAGCATTTCCTCAGTCTCCCCTCCCCAGTGATCAGACTGCAGGCAGGAAGAAGCATTTCCTGTGTCTCCGCTACGGTCAACTTTGTAGCAAGTCATAAGGCTGCAGCAGGGGGGCTGACCTGCGTCAGATGTTTAATAATAGAATCACCAGATAATAAAAACTTCTGTTGCGGCCTTTTCAGGTATAAAAAATATAATATCCAGTCCCATGTACATGAAATTCTTCGATTGGTTATTTCCTTTATGAAGAATTGTTGTCGATTATTTGCCACATTGCACGGGACATTCAGAAACAAATTCTCCAGCCACATCCCCTCCCCCCCCCATATATCACATACCCTGATATACGGTATATAGTTCATTGATAGAACATCACATCTTTGTGAAATGTATCGAGTATCCCACGGTGATGTTTGGGGGAAATTTGGGTCTTTTTTTCCTACACGTTTCGCAGCACCAATGCTGCTTCTTCAGGGGAAGAGTCATCTAAGAGAAATAATATAGTGGATAGTGCAATCCTGTACCATTCCATATATTTATAGTGTACTATTAATTAGGGATGCACCGATATATCGGCCGCCGAAACATATCGGCCGAAAATGGCACTTTTGGCACAGTGCCAAAAGAGCCATGTTTCGGCCGATAGATCGGCGCATCCCTGCTTTCTTTCCTCCCCGCTGGGCGCTGCTCTGTGTTCCAGCGGGGAGAAAAGAAAGTGACAGCCGGCCGAGCGCTGCTGGAGGAGGGCGCTGTGAGCGGCCGGCTTCTCTCCTCCCACACCGCTCAGCCGCCTATCACAGTCCGGCAGAGCGGTGTGTGGGCGGATTTTTTTTATTTCGCTTTTAAAATTTCCATTTCGGTGCACCTCTACTATTAACTCTTTTCCTGCCTCCGTTGTATGTCATACATGAGCAGTAGCAGGCCTTCTGTTCACCGGTATAAAGCTGACTGTTGGCTTTACACTGGAAGCATTTTGGGCGGCTGTAAATCTGCATGAACACTTCTAAAGGCTGGTAAACTGTGCCCCCCGTACAACCCCGCCTTGCTTTCTGGGTTCTGCTGCCCCTCCTGCAGACCTGGGACCAACATCACTTCCAGTTTCTTAACTGTCATTCCCTGGTTACAGAAGCAGGGGGAGAAGCTGATTGAGCACCACCTGTGCTTGATCATCTTCAATGAGCTGCAAAGATGACATTAGAGGTCTAACAGACCACTAATGTCACAGTAAAGAGAACCTGTCACTAGGGATACACCTATACCCTTTCTTCGGTATAGAAGTACAAGTACCGATATTTAGTTCCGATACCGGTACTTTCGCTAGCATGGAGCTGGCTTCCGCCCGGCTTCTTGATTGCCCGGGAAGCCAACTCCATGCTGTTTGACCGTCTCGGTGCTAATTGGCCGGGTGGCTGGCTTCCCAGCAAATCAGGACCAAGCCATCTTCCCAGCCAATCAGCATGGAGCCGGCTTCCCAGCCAATCAAGAAACCGATTAGCGAGTCATTACCCGGCTCATTGCTCCCTTGCGGCACTGCCAGTCATAGGAAATCTCTCTCTGACCCGAAGTTCCGGTATCAGAGGTAAGTATTGGAGCATTTGGGCGAGTATGAGTGCTCGCCCAAATACTCGGTATCAGTGTAGGTGCATCCAGTGGCGTCCTGAGGCTCGGTGTCACCCGGGGGCGGGGACCGGGTGACACCTTGCTGTGACGTCATCACGCACGCGCGCGATGTTGCCGCGCGTGCGCAATGACATCGTCGCTCATTCGCACTGGTCTTTTTGACGCCTGCCGGTGGCCATCTTGCTGATGGACGCCGGCAGAGAGAATAAGAAAAAAGAAAACTTGCCGCACTCCTTACCGGGACTCCCCACAAAAAGACGGGTGCTCGAAATTACTGCGGACGGCGCCGCCACACATAGAGAAAAAGGAAGACGTCACCAGCACTCCAACAACGATAATCACAGCCATTAGAGGCTTATTTATTGACAGATGCTGTCTCTCAATGGCAAGCGCTTTCAGGGCCACACAGGGTCCCCTTTGTCATCTCTGAGCCTGATGAAGGGGACCCTGTGTGGCCCCGAAAAGCGTTTGCCAATGAGAGACAGCAGCTGTCAATAAATGAGCATCTAATGGCTGTGATTATCGTTGTTGGAGGGCTGGTGACGTCTTCCTTTTTGCCCTCCGCTCTCCTGACACTGTCGGTCCGTGACCAAGTGCCCGACATTTCATAAGGGGTGACACCAAAATGACTGTCAGTCATTTTGGTGTCACCCCTCCAATGGTTGCACCCGGGTGCGGGCCACACCCCCCGCACCCCCCTTGTGACGCCACTGGGTGCATCCCTACCTGTCACCACTAAAGTGTTAATACATAGAGGGCTTGTAAGCGCCCCCCTCCCCATGTGATAGCAATGAAGTTAAGTAAAAAAAAGTTTAAACAATAAAGTCAAATAAAATAAATGTAAAAACACAATTTTTGTAAAGTCCTCCATCCCTGCAACACGCACATACTAACGCAAACATGCATTGGTTGCACCTGCGTATGAAAATGACGAACGGCTCTAGCAGCTAAAGGGTTAAATGTACATACTCTGCAGGACACTGAAACTTAGAAACCTCACGGTAAGCACCCCCCCAATAATGTTTTGGGGTTTTAAATGCATTTTTAAAATGTGCATTTTAGCTTGTGTGTGGGGGAATTTTTTTTTTAAAAATGGCTTTGGCAGCGAAAGGGTTAATCCGCCCCAAGGTCCATCCAAAACTAATGGGGAAAAAAAAGTATTGGGTGGGTGCGCACTTTAAATATTGTGTATTTTGTACGTTGTCGTGCTTTTTGGGGGGGGGGAAATAAAATCAATTAAAGTGCAGAGAAATGTGATAGGGAATCCAGGGTTGGGGGGAGGGGGGTAGCATGTGCACCCTCCCCTCCCCCATATACATGACTTGACTGTGCACATTGTAGTCATTCAGGAAGTTCTCTTGGTCACTCCCTCTGGAATGTGGGGGAGGGGAGCATTGCATTCTGGGTATAAAGAACATGTGCTCCCTACTGCTCAGAAGCCATTTTGGACGGTGTGCTGATCCGGCATGGTTGGGTCTGGCAGAGCTCTCCGGCAGGTAACGTGACTTGTGATGTCTCCTGGGTGGGATTCACTTTGTTTCAATGTCTGTGTGAGATGATTCGCCGTGTGACAGATTCCTGCAGAGATCTGGTTATATGGAATGTCCTGGGATAGCAGATCCTTGTACTGGC